TGTAACTAAGAGGATGGTGGAGCTCCCTGGTGTAGCGCAACCCAACTGCCCTCTGCATGAGGTGATCTCCTCTCCTTTGTAGGCGGTGGGGGCTGCGGGATCTGTGAGAACTGAACCAGGGGGCCCAGGGGTATTTACCCGGCGGAGACTCTCCGATGCCTAAGTTAGCACTCTGATTGTTGAGAGCTTGAAGATGAAATGAGAGCTATGAGAGAGCTAGAGAGCAGGGATTACCTCCATTTTTTCATTCTCTCCCCCTTGTCTTTGGGGGTCGGAGTCCTTATATAGTGGTGTCCTATTAAATCAGGCGTAACCGCATCTGTCTCTCTATTGCAACCGTTATTGTCAGAGCTGAGGTGGCGGGTGCAGGCAGCTACTACAGAGTATGGATCTGCCAGTCAAGGGACAGCTCTCAGGATTGGCAGGCACGGCGCCGCCTAGCGGGAGACGTGGGCGCAGGTCTCCGGATCTATCAAGTATAGTTGTTAGGCAGGAGATCTTCCTGCGATACGCCGAGCTGCCCCTAAGTGCCGAGCTGCCTGTAAGTGCCGAGCACTTCGTAAGACACCAAGCTACCTGCGGAGTGGCCAATTGCCTGTGGCGAGCTGCCTATGCCGAGCTACCTGTAAGTGCTGAGCTGCCCCTAAGCGGCAAGCTCTTCGTAAGATGCTAGGCTGACTGCGGAGTGGCCAGCTACCTATGCCGAGCTACCCTAGCTATACCGAGCTGCCTATGCCGAGCTGCCCAGTCGTCAAGAAGCTACACTTTAGTTTGCATGAGGTGCCAGGTGTCACAATTTCAGTAGAGGGCCAAATCCGCCCTCATCAGTACTATTCAAGAAATTGACCCCAAAACTCACTACGAACAGTAAGGATATTATAATAATAATAATAATAATAATAATAATAATAATAATAATAATAATAATAATAATAATAATAATAATAATAATAATAATAATAATAATAATAACAACTCACAAGCGTTGTGCACAAACTGCCTAATATCATAAGTACATTGACTTGAGCTGAGCCCAGCCCCGGTAGCAGGTTGCACCCTATATTCAAATAACTATTTTGCATTTCCAACAATTGCACCTAACCGTCACCTGACCTCTAAGGCTGGTAGTTGGGAAGAAAGAGGAAAAACGACCAGAAACCCGTAGCGCTCTAACATCTATATGTCTCTCTCTTTCCATGGTCCATACTCCATAGACTCCATAACATTCTCTTCAGAAATGCAACTCTAGTAATGCCCTCATTAACTCGATTTCTCAATAATCCCCCAAGCCTTTCCACTCCCCGCTGCTTATCCTTCTGCAATATTAAATGGGATCAAACAAATTGCCCGCCTTCTTTGGTTTGAATAACCACCTTTATCCCGCATCTCTAAATCCTGTTCGTGAAAACCTCATCCAGAAACATGATTCCGGCACCCCAAAACACCGTTCCATGTCTTCAGTTTTTGCTTCCTTGCGCAGCCTTTTGTCAGGGAGTATGTAATGCTTAATTCTTCTTTCTTCTATTTCTATCTTCATCCCTTCTTTTCTCTCAACTCTGAAGATGCTTAAGATGTGCAGAGAAACCTGATGGTGGGAAGCGGACGGAAGAGGAGGACAAAGTGTACAATTGGTTATATGCCTTGGCTCAGTCCGATAAGGACTTGGTCTTCGAATATGTTAAATCGACTGAAAGAGGTGGGTCTATCGTCTTGGATCTAACTTTTTGATATTCTGGGTTTTGGTGGATTGGTGAAGGGGATGCATTCACAGAGGAATTTTATTTCTTGTAAGCTTTTACTTGTCTCCAAACTGATATTAGAAAATAGAAACTAGGAACATACATTCCCTCAAATTAAACCCAACCGATATTCACTCAGGCTTCTTCCTCATGCCCATTTTCAGTAAACCTGCTGGTCACTTGTCAATTTTGAAAAGTAAGTCGATTAGCATGTTCACAGTTTCATCAAGAAAGGTTAACACTTGACAGCAGAGTTGGAAAAACTTGGAAAAGAAAGTAACCATGAATTAAGTATATCGGCCTTATAGTGTTAAATCTCAGTCTAAGCTATCACTTCCCTTCTCCCCATAACTGGGTTCAGTTTGCACATTGCCTTTTTTATGGAACATATTACCTCTGTAGTTATAATTCAAACTCAAAATTGCTTGGCCTTGAGTTTTGCACCATTGAAGCTAAATCTAGGATGATGCACCCATTGCTATCTATTGCATCACTGTTTCCTTTGGAAGACAATCTGCCGTGTGATACATGCTTAATTTACAAAAAGTCGCAAATCTGTCGGTGTTTTTTTTTCCTTACTGCAATTTTCTGTTACTCCGATTTACTCCTTGTGCAGGCTTGAGCTTCAAGGAAGCTGAGAGAAGACTAAGGGAAAATGGTCCAAATGTACCTGTCGATTATACCTTTCCAAGATGGTGGCAGCTCCTGTGGAATGCCTTCTTTCATCCTTTTAATATCATTTTGATTGTCTTATCATTTCTCTCATACGTGTCAAGCGATTATCCCAATGGATGTATCATGCTCATGTTGGTTTTCATCAGCGTAGCACTTCGATTTTTCCAGGTAATTGTTAAAATTTCCTATTAGAGAATTTCAATTTCCAACTTACATTCAGACCTACAATCCTATCAACCAGACCATAAATATCTAATCTGGGAATAAATCAGCCTGATGCATGTGATTATTCAATTCCTTGCTTGTTATGGTCTTCCAGACAGATTCATGCTACGCTTCCCTCTTTTCCTAGCGTGTATTCTATTGTTTCTGGTTTTTTCTCCTACGTTTCAGGAGTTCAGCAGTTCAAAAGCAGCCATGAAGCTTTCGGAGTACTTGAGATGCCCTGTTAAAGTTCAGAGATGTGCCGGCAGAATTGTTCAGACCGAATTGATTGTACAAATTGATAAAAAAGATGTAGTTCCTGGTGACATCATCAATTTTGGACCAGGGGATCTCTTCCCTGGTGATGTGAGGCTACTAACGTCGAAAGATTTGGTTGTAAGGTATGCTGGCTTCTGGAACACTTGTTGAATTTACAAATGAGGATTACTGAGTTCTTTCACGCTATTCTTTCCCCTTTTCTCCACAGCCAATCATAGAACGCATGACCACCATCCTGCTTCTTGAACAGTCAGTCTTCATTAACAGGGGAGTCAGGGACGATGGAGAAAGTAGCAGACATCAAAGAATATCCGACTACTCCACTGCTAGAGTTGAGAAATATTTGCTTCATGGCAAGTATACTTTAGTACATTTTCTTTAAAAATTCCTTACAATAGCCTTAACATGGAAAGTAGGTGATGGAAATTCCACCAAACCTCCAACTTTGGATCCATACGGTTACCAAAACCAATTATTTTCTGAAACCTCTTAATAAATAATAACTAAGCTCCTTCTCTTAAGGCTCAGTTTGGAAAGAGTACAAATACAAATATTTAGTGTAAAACCTTACATTTTGTATGTATTCCTACTGTACATATTTGTATTTGTACTCCTTCCAAACTGAGCCAAAGGTAGTTTGCGAGATGTCATCTCTCTTAGGTCCTGTTTGATTTGCAGGAATAGGGGTCTGGAACCGGATCCCGTTCCCATTCCTGGTGAAATGGCATTCCCCCATTTTAGAGAATGGTCATTCTCTCTCCCTCCCTTGGGAATGAAATCCTATTCTAGTTTATTCTAATTCCCATTCTGGTTCCTGTCTGAACCAAACAGACTATGGAAATAGACCGTTCCAATTTGGACTTCGAAGGATTATGATTACCATAAGTCATTTATAGACAATAGTCACTATTATTACTTGATTGAGTATTTTATGTTTCATATATTGCTTCAACTATCTGAGTTCTGATTCCATATTGCAGGGTACAAGTGTTGTATCTGGTTGTGGGACTGGTCTAGTTGTTTCCACTGGATCCAAAACTTACATGAGTACCATATTTTCAACCATTGGGAAAGGAAAACCAGAAAATGTCTTTGAGAAAGGTGTTCGGCGTGTATCATATGTGCTTATCTGCATTATGCTAGTCATAGTCACTATTATAATCCTCTCAGAATACTTCGCATCTCATGACTTAAGTGAGAGTATCATATTTGGGATCTCCGTTGCATGTGCACTAACTCCACAGATGCTTCCTCTTGTTGTAAATACAAGTCTTGCAAAAGGAGCACTTGCCATGGCCAGAGATAGATGCATTGTCAAAAGCTTAGCTGCAATTCAGAATATGGGAACAATGTAAGAAAAATACTCAGAATTACCAAAGACACATCTCTCTATTTGTATGATTTCTAATCAGTTGAGTTAGGCATGTTTCATTATTACAAGCAGTAGTTGCATTGAAGTAATGAGGCATTTCTTATTTATTTATTTTTTATTTTGAAAAAAGGTTAACCAGACTTCATTAAAACAGCATGAAGTACATGAGCAGATGTACTGCACAGAAGAAAGAAAACCCAAACAGCTAAAGAGAAAAATTGCAAGGGGGGAAGCCTATTGCTGTACAGATTTTCTAATCTTGCTCCTATTTTAGCTAAACCATCTGCAATATGATTCAACTCCCTCGGTATCCACAGCAAGCTTGCGTTTCCAATGAGTCTCTTGCATCAGCCAGATAATGACTCAACCTCCAAGGGCCCCCCTCCTTGTCCTTCAGCCATTTGATAGTATTAGCAGAGTCTCCTACAATGGATAAGTTCTGAATGCCTAATCTTTTTATTATTCTGGTTCCAGTGAGAGCAGCCATAACTTCAGCCTTTGTTGAGTCCGCATAACCGATTGGGCCACTGAAAACCCAATAGATATTACCCAGATCATCCCTCAAAATACCCCCTTATCCCAGCTACACCAGGATTGCCTGCAGCACTTCCATCAAAGTTTAAAGTCATCTCTCCTTCATTATGATGTATCTGTAGTCACTGGATTGGTTGAGGGTAGATTGGAAGAAACAAGATCATTTGGATATTTCTGTTAAGGTCATTGAGAGAGAATCCTTGGAACAGTTTGGAATTTTTTTTTGATGAATGAATGGTATTTTATTAAATAGAGATAGAAATAGTACAAGCATGAAGCACCCTAAGAGGAGGCACTAGGTGTTACCTCCCCTTAAAGGTGGTTCCAAACCCAACTCTTTTCAGATTGCAGTTACAAATTAGCCAAAAACAGAGAATCCCTTGAAGCCCCTTGTTTAGCTAAAGAATCTGCCGAAGCATTTGCCGATCTACTAACCCACTGAAAGCTAACTGACATGGTTCTCGTAAGCCATTTGACTTTTTTGATGATGTCCCTATATCCCCAAACAACAGTTTCTAGGTTCGACATCCATCCCACTATCACCTTAGAGTCTCCTTCAACTATCAAATTAGTCACTCCAAGTTGGTTAGAAATCTGTAGTCCTTGTACCACAGCTAATATATCAGCCCTTGTAGAGTCTCCATAACCCACTAGACCTGAGAACAAGGACAGAATGTTGCCATCCTTATTCCTCAAGATCCCTCCTATACCTGAAGGTCCTGGATTGCCTTGACTACTCCCATCAAAGTTCAACTTTACAACTCCTTTTGGAGGGGGTAACCAACTTGATTGTGTTCTATTTTTCTTGGATGATGTGGAGGCCACTGCTGCCCAACTCCTTCGAAGGTCATCACTAGGGTAATCCACAAAGAGATCAGTAGTTTTTAGCCAAAGGATTGCCCTTGTTAGTATACAATCCTTTATTTCAGCAATGCTTCTCTCCTTCTCCTGGAAAACTCTGATATTTCTTTCCTCCCAAATGGTCCATAAGAGGGCTGCCCTAATACATTTCCACATTACTTTCCCTCTCTTTGTTGGCCAACCAAAAAAAGACGGATCAAAAAGCAGATTTACTTYAGRAGGYAGGTTCCACYTGTACCCAAACAACATAAAAACCCAATTCCAAATATTTACTATAAAAGAGCAAGAAATCAGTAGGTGATAACAGTCCTCATTCTGCACTTTACATAAAATGCACCAATTGGGGAACAAGCATGAATAAGGTCTCTTTTTTTGTGCATTGTCCACAGTATTAATTTTACCGTAATACACTTCCCAACAAAAACCAACAATTTTAGGTGGAACTAGCCTTGACCAGACTTCTTTAACTGGGAACAACAAAGGGGAAGGAGTAGAGAAAAGGAACTTAAAGAAGAACAAGAGAAAGAGCCACTCGAGGTCAAAGACCAAATTCTTCTATCTGGTTTAGGAGGGTCCAAACAAACAAAATCAAGTAAATGTAAGAGCTCAGAGGAAAAAACTGATTCCTCATCCCTCAACCCTCTACGGAACCCAAAATCCCAATTAAGAGACAATTGGAGAATGGGGGGAGAAAGAAACCTCGAAACAGGTTCCCTTTTATAGAGGGAAATAGAAAAACAGGGAGGGATAGAGGTCTTTTAATGGTTGGTTGCCCACCCAAACATCTTCCCAAAAAAGCACAGAATTACCATTGCAGACATCATACCTTACGAACTTGAGAAAATTTGGGAGGATGCCAAAAATTGCCTTCCATGGTGTAGTGAGTGTGGCCCATTGTGATACCTTGACATCCCAACTAGATTCAGAACAACCATGGATACTAGCCACCACCTCATGCCACAATCTCTCTCTTTCCAGAGGCCACCTCCATAACCACTTGCCCAAAAGAGCTTCATTCTTATTTACTAGGTTCCCTAACCCTAAGGCCCCTTATTCCTTGCTTCGACTCACCACCTCCCATCTAATCAAATGATCCTTTTTCTCTGCACCTAGTTCCCACAAAAAAATCCCTCATCAACTTTTCTATCTTCTTGGCTTCCCTAATAGGTATCCTAAAAATAGACAAAAAGTAGGTGGTTAAGTTTGCGAGTGTGGCCCTAATCAAAGTTATTCTACCTCCCCAGAGAGATATAGTTCTTTTTTCCAGGTCACTAGCCTTTTTTCAAACTTCTCTACCACCGGGATCCAAAACCTACTTTCCTTTGGATTTGCACCTAAGGGAAGTCCTAGATAGGTCAAGGGCCAAGCAGAAATAGGGCATTTTAAGCAGGCAGCAATAGACTCCAACTCGCTTCCCTCCACATTTATCTCCACCACACAGCTCTTCTCAAGATTTATTTTCAGGTTTGAGACATTCTCAAAGAGGGTTATTAGATTTCTCAAATTCCTTGCCCTCAACAAATCACATCCCTCACAAAAAATTATGACATCATCTGCAAACTGAAGGTGGGTAACCGAAACTTGATTTCTTCCTAATCTCCATCCTCTTATCAATCCAACCCTGTTTGCTATTGAAAAAGTCTACTAAAAACATCAACAACCAATGTGAAAAGGAAAGGGGACAATGGATCACCTTGTCTCAAGCCCCTACAGCTTGAAATTAGCAATCCAGAAATTACATTGAAAGGAGATATCTGAGATTAGTTCTTCAAGAGATCTGATTTTGTTGTCAAATACGCACCTGTTTCTTTCCTCCCAAATTCCCCACAGTATTGCATGTAAACACCATTTGCCAGTATACTTTACCTCTTCTGCTCAGGCCTGAACCATGCCACTGATGGAGAAACTCCTGAATATGCTTTGGAAAGACCCAACTGTATCCAGTCAGGTTTAAGAAATGGCTCCAGATCTTTTGAGAGAAATTGCAATGAATAAGTAGATGATCAGCTGATTCACCTTCTCTTAGGCATAACGCACAGGCATGAGGAGAAATAAAGGATCTTCCCAAATTTTTTTCTGAAGGTCACAAGTATTTATTCTCTGTAGGCACGCTTCCCAAACAAAGAAGCAGACTCTTAATGGAATACGACTGCTCCAGATCTTCTTGAATGGGAAAGTGGAACTCTGTTCACCTGCAATTAGAACCTTGAACATAGATTTGGAAGAGAAATCACCATTTGGGTGGAGGGTCCACACTCGGGTGTCAATGGAATGAGGGGAAGTGTATACTTCTTTAATGGTATGAAAGAGGTCCAAGAGGTCTGAAATCTCTATGTCCCTTAGGGATCTTCTAAGGTTCAGGTTCAAGTTGTTATCGGCAGGAATATTTGGGACACAAGAGGAGACTGCCGAAACCTCTCAATCTCAAGCAATCCAAGATACAATCCTAGTCAACTTTGTCGTAGGCCTTTTCAAGGTCTAATTTGACTAGTATCCCCGGCTTCCCAAGAGCCTTTCTATCTTCTACACATTCATTTGCAATTAAAATACTATCCACAATTTGTCTTTGACAAAGGCAAACTGATTTGGAGAAATCGGATCTCCTAGAACTTCAAGTCTTCTTGCCAGAACTTTTGCCAAAATTTTGTAAACACACCCTACCAAACTTATTGGTCTAAAGTCCTTAACTTCGAAAATTCCCCCTTTCTTTGGAAATAAACACAGAAAGGTTGAGCTTAAGCCTTTGTTTACAATGGCAGAGGAGTAAAACTCCCTAAAAAACTTTAGCAGGTCTTCTTTAACAATTTCCCAACATGTTTGAAAGAAGAATAATGGGAATCCATCTGGGCCAGGTGCCCTATCTCCATCCATGCTGAAGATTGCCTCTTTGATTTCTATCACTTCAAAGCTTTCTTCCATGCAGGCTTTTTTATCTAATGACAGGGTCGATCCTTCCCATCTGCTCAATCTGAATCTGCACTGGCTTTCCTTAGAGTATAGGCTCTTAAAGAAGGAGAGGAAGGCTTCTGTGATTTCTTCAGGATTTTCCACTTCACTCTTATTTTGGAAATAAAGTTTTTCCTACGTCTTCCCGATGCATAAACGTGGAAAAACCTGGAATTGTTGTCTCCTTCTTTCAGCCATCTCACTCTTGATCTCTGCCTCCAATAAATTTCCTCTTTTTTGACTACCTCTTCCCAAGATTTCTTCAGCTCAGTTCTTCTTCTGCCTAAATCATCTAAAGTGCCATTTTTCTCTTTTACATCTAATTCATCCAATTCCGTGAGCATCTTCCTTTTCTCATCTTTAAGGCTCTATACTGTTCTTTTCCCTAAGATTTCAACTTCCTCTTCAGGAATTTTAATTTTTTGTAAAAGCTTGAATCCGACCCATCCCTCTACTTCACACTCCTCCCACCAACCAGCTACCAGCTTCTTAAAATCCTTGTGAGCGGTCCACCATTTTTCTAGTCTAAAAGGGGGCTTTCCTTTTGTAATTAGGTCAGTGTTCAGCTTAATGGGCCAGCGGTCTGAAATGCAACGATGGCATAGGTCTTGGGTTAGGTTGGGAAATCTTTCCACTCA